CATAGACCTTGCAACTCCACCCTTTCTTTGTGTATGCTCAATAAAAGAGTCATCCAGACTATGCTCTGGGTTGTCTCATCCCGAGAGAAGACTCGTGTCTGTGTCTTCCTTCATCATTGGCCTCATGGGCGACCCGCGGAGAAATCGCATGTGCCTCCCATCCCTGTCCCCACTTATTCGTATCCTTTTCTTGCATTTAGAATCATGTTTATACTTACATCTGTTATCTTGTGCATGCTTGACCAAATAAAATAAGTTAGAAATATGAATATGAAAATATGAAAGAAAAATGTATGTATGTAAAATCTTCTTAGATTTATATTGTAATATTATATGTAATATTCTATTACAGTATAATTATTACTTGAACATTAGAATTGTTAAAATCTACAAGAAGGCAAAAATCGAAGAGCAAACTACAAAAGCAGAATGTGCATGCTGATAGGGGAAACTGTAAAATTATATTATATTGTCATTTTTTGTGTTTTTATCTGTTTGTACTTGTTTTTGTTCTTTTCCTTGGCTTTTTTCCCCCTTTTTCTTTTTTCCTTTTTTTAATTTGTGGTTTTTGAAACTTGAAAACGTTCAATAAAAACTATTTTAAAAAAATAATAATTAAAAATTAAATGAAGTGGTCAGGCTGAACCCGGAAGTCCCTTCTCCAGAAACAGAGGGAGAGGTTGGACCTCTCTTCATTTTTCTACTTCTAGACTGAACCGTGATGCCTTATGCACGTTCCGGCAAAACTTCCCTTGCGCTCTCAACCAAACCTCCAAAAGAGGGCGGGTCTAAACGACGCTAACCTATCGGAGCCCGAGAAGGATTAACATATTGGCCGGAAGACGGAAGAAGCCGTACTCCACGTGGTTTTTCCTTTTTTTTTTTGCCGAGTTCCACCCACATGGCTGCCCGAGCGGATCGGCGGAAGGTGGGTTGCGGCTGAGCGGAGAGCGGTGAGAGGGAATAGATCGGGGAGAAGCAATGCCGTAAAGCTTCGCCCGTCTCCTCGTCGGACTGCAACCCCCATCATCCACGGCCGGAGTGGTGGTGGTCAAGGACGATGGGAGTTGTAGTCCGGGGCTGCGCGCAGGGTCTCCCTCCCTCGCTTTGTTTCAGGGTTTGGGGTGGGGGGGTGGGTGAGGTTGGAGATGGGGTAGTAGTGGTGGGGGAGGGGGTGGAAGACAATCTTAGTTTGGCTCAACTTGGCCAGAGCTTGATCTGTTGAACTGTAGGGTTGGACTAGAAGACCTCTGAGGTCTCCTTTTGTTATTCTATTGTTGTTGTTGTTATTATTATTTTGATGCATCTCAGCGTCTCATCTTTGGGGTGTAGCTAATTTTGGAAGAGGGGGAGAGGGACATTTCCCCCCCCCCAAATATTTTTGCAAAATATATAGAATAGAAAAGAAAATATGGAATGGAATGGAAATAGAATAGAATGAAAGAAAGAAGAATAAAATAGGAATTGAATTCCATTCTTTATTGGCCAAGTGTGATTGGACACACTAGGACTTTGCCTTTGGTGGGGGGCAAATGCTCTCAGTGGACA